AAGGCAATTAGACTCTTAACTAAGCTCTGCTCCCCCGCAACCTAGAACCAATCCAAGCCAGACACGTAGAGGATGCCCTGCCCTATACAGAGGTCTTGCAGGCCTTAAAGGGGGGAAACACCATGGCCTCGTCCCCAGGCCCCGCCGGGGCGGGTCCGTGGTGCGGCGATGGAACTCCTGAGGTTGGGCGCAAGAGTCAGGAATGGCTTGCCATGCAAAAGAAGCAAGGCCACGCAGCCAAGCACACACGACCCCGTCCTCCCATGCCACTCATGTGGGCCGGTCGGGAAGCGATGCTTGCCGCCGCAGACGCTGCGGCAGCATTCTGCTCAAGGTGATCAGAGCATCTCACGGCGGTGGTGGTTCCGCCAGCCCAAGCGTACCACTCGCCGTCCTGGCACACCAGCTGGTAGTAGCCACAGCCATCGTCCTCGGATGGATCGGGAAGAGCTGCTTGGCAGACCAGCGTGCCTCCCGAGTAGGCCTGAAGCATCCACGCTCCTTCCTCCACGATGACTGCGTACGACACCGCAGCCGCAGCCCCGTCGCCCTCCTCCAAGTCTTCCCCGTCAGGGCCCTCCTCTCCAGCTCCGTCGCCAGTGTCGGGCACAGCCGTCTCAGAGCCCAAGTGCGCGACCACTTGGGCCACGGCCTCGGAAGGTGAAAGCTCCACGCTGGACAGGGGCTCGCCGAGACGAACGTATTCGGCTTGCAGCGCTTCGATGCAATCGTTCTTGATGAACCTCAGATGCGTAAACATCAATGAGCACAGAACCTGACACGACAGCAGGCCTCAAGGGTGACTGCGGTTGCAGTCTTGACCAAGACGCGAGGGCAGCCTGTCTGTCGGGGACAGACCCGTGGTGATGTAGAGATAAGCGAGGCATTCATCTCTGGATAATTTGTTGACGAAGACGAGAGTGAAGAATGATGGCAAAATATTGTGCAGCCAGTCACAGACGTGTCCGGTCTTAGCTTCAAGTCTCTCACTGACAGGCCATGCATGGAAACAAGGACACAGCAAACCACCCAGCTTCTCTAGACAAGAGACTGGCACCAAGCTGATCGATGTGTAGCTACTCGAGTAGCGTTCCACATTGGTGGTGCCACGCCCCCGATTGCTCCTGAGGGGCATGCCGGCCTTCTTGCCCATCTTTGCCTTCCCTGCCGCCGTCGGCTCGTCCCCAGCTACGTAGCCGCCTGGCCACCTCAGAGCAGCTACGTTGCTACTCATGGAATCAGAAACAGCAGCAGTACCTCTCTTCAGCTGGGCCACACAATGCTCGCAGGCGCAGGCTTCGGGGCTGGCGGTAGCTTCACCACGGGAACACTGGATGTTTTCGGTGGCACTGGAATTCCAGGTGTCTTGGCAGGTGGGAAAGCCAACAACGTTCCAGGAGCTGTCGGGGGACTCAACGGCTTCGCTTTGGGTGCTTTCGGCGCAGGAGCTTTCCCCCCTTTGGGCACAGGAATTCTCAGGAGAGGTGCCATGGACTGGCACGTCTCGCGTGGCAACAGGAAATGCAGTGGGAGTCGGGAGATCTTGAGCAGCAGCATGACATGGTAGGCTCTTCCACAAGAGTACAGACGAGTGTGGCAGTACATGTGACCAGAAACAGGCACGGTGAACTGTATGCACTCGCCAAGGCACCCTAGGAGGCAGGGTCCATTTTGAATTGCGCGGCTGCGCTCTTCGAGTTGAAACTTGTCTTGGGCTACAGGCGATGGGGTTTGTATTGTTTCCGATCTACACTAGGACAGGCACTAGGAGCCTAGGTAACCAGATAGAGCCGGAATCATCACCTGCGCCTGGCTAGCCTAGTTCCTGCCCTGGCCAACACAACTGTACATCGATGGCTTGGGAGGACCAAAGCACACCATGCCCAAAAGCAGCACCGTCGACGCACACCCAAGGTGCATCGAGTTACCTGCCATCTGGTCGGCTCTGGCCGGATCCAAAGTCGGCAGCGGGGTGGTGTGCATCTCGGTTGCAGTCCCCTGATCTACGGGCCAACCCAGGCTAGCTAGCTTTTCTTGTCCCGTGAGGAACGTGAGGCTGGGTCGGTGAAGAAACTTTGCACTGCTCTTTCGGAACGCAGGGAGTGCCTGTGAATGGGCACTCCAGGTGCAGGTGAACTCAAACCTGTCCCCCAAGAAATAGAACAAGTCTTCGTTCTCTGTTGGGGAACTTTCGTAAAGGTTCCGATAGCGTGTGTCCAGCTGGGAAACAAGGAAGCGTTCGCGCTCTGTCAGCAGTGGCAGGATGCCGTCCTCCTGAGCAGGGCTTGTGAGAT